ACATTTCAAGATAAATGCACTATCAGGTTTTGAAATTTTCTTATTTTTGTAAATACTAAGACCTGGGGAGCAAAATAAGGGCTATATTGTGGATTAAGTGAAATATCTCAAGGCTGTGCTTTTCTGATAACTGAACCTGAAGTGACCTTTCTCAGACACAATTACAGAGCTGTATGTTTTTCCTTTAATTTCATCAGGGGTTTAATTAGTATACAAATAAAACTTCCCTTATCTTCCTTTCTACCTAATTGGCTTGTCTTCGCTTATATATGAATTATGTGAAAATGGGCTGTAATTAGGGTGACCGTGTTAACCTTTTTTTCTCAAATGTACTGTTGCCTAAAGGCCTCAAGGCCTAAAAACAGTGCTTTGGATTATTGCTTTGCAATCACTATGGCTCTCCCATAGGTTTTCTCATGAGCAGAAGGGCTTTGGGTGCTGCTGGTTCCCACTGCTTAACGGGATCTTCATTCTTCTCCCCACTAAATGTTTATTGATTATCTCGCTGCTCCACACTCAGCCTCCAACAACTTAATATCAGGTGACAGTCAGGAGAGTTCTCCAAGTAATTAGAGTGGAGCATTGAGGGAACAATTAGGAGCAGAGTTATTAAACTTGATTTATCCTATTCTCTCCTGAACACTTTCTTGGATATCAGAACATCGCACTTTCACAATCTACCCTGGCTGAGAAATTAGTGGCTAACCTGCTGCTTATCATTGTTGCCTTGCTGCCTTGAGGCACACCCTCTTGGTTTCAGTCACTCAGCTGGAAATATTAGAGTCCATAAAGTTTATCAAGGGTTTTAATTAGATCAATCTGAAGAAGGAAAAAAAGAGAGGCTTAGAAGCCATTACTTCAGAACATTCCATTCTGTATTTGAGCAATTGTTACGGCTTGACTTCACCCACAGTAGCAAGGAGTTTCAAGTGAATACTGGTAGTGTTTTTGGGGAGCTGTTCTGTTTACAGTTTGCTTTGATACTGCAGTATCAAAGATAGATAGAATTGAAATCCTTTGGAGATTTCTCCAAATAACGTTGAAATGTTTTCAAAATAAAGCAGTAAGATTTTTGATTTAATAATTTCTATATAGCTTTGTCATCAGCATCTTGCTTTACAAGAGCTGTGCTTCATATTACTGCCTCATTAATAGTCCTGTGTTTGGAATTGATAAGCAGTGTTAGTTTAGCATCTCACACAGGCTTTTCAAACATTATGGGCCTGTTTGTTTTCTGTGGTCCATGATGTAAGCTGTGCTGGAACAGCCTACTCTTCAGTACCTGCAGGAGAATAACTAAAATTAATATGCATCCTCTCTTACTAACGTGTACATATTGGCCTGTATTTTTCCAGACAATTAGAGCACTAGAATCTTACAGCCAGGCTCCACCCCAGTAACCTCTACATCTAAAGTTGCTTGTTTCAGAGTATTAGCAGAATTATTTTCTGAGCAGACCAGAGCTGAATACTGTCACTGCATCTTTATTTATTTTTTTTTTTTCAGTGGCACTTGGGAAAGTGAGGCATTGGTACCAGACATGTTCTATGCTCCATACCTTCAGTTTGTAAAAAAATGGGAATATGAGTGGGAGGGATATGACTCTGCATTTATAGCTGTATTTCTTCAGTGCTGATTTTGCCTAAAAATATATCAACAGTAAGCACGATAGATGGAAGAAGGTAACGTTCTGAAATTCTATATGCAAACACAGTTGTTCAGACAAGATTTTAATAGTCACTGCTGGCATCAGAGTCGTTTCTGATTTTGGATATGTTTATGCTAATAATACAATGGGAGTATGAGATCTGTATGTTCATCTTTTTTTTTTTTCTTTTTTCTTTTTTTTTTAATGAAAAATAGGATATCTAGTTGAAATTAATGAGATAAGAAGCATACTAGACTTATTCAACCAGCATTAACTTGAACAAGACATCTCCATACTTTAGAATTTCTTAAATTAATTCCTGATTGGGGTTCACAGAATCACAGAATGGCCAGGGTTGGAAGGGACCTGAAGGATCATGAATCTCCAACCCCCCTGCCACATGCAGAGCCACCAATCTCCACATTTAATACTAGACCAGGCTGCCCAGGGCCACATCCATTCTGGCCTTGAACACCTCTAGGGACGGGGCATCCACAACCTCTCTGGGCAGCCTGTTCCAGCACCTCACCACTCTCTCTGTAAAGAATTTCCCCCTGACATCCAACCTAAATCTCCCCTCTCTCAACTTAAAACCATTCCCCTTGTCCTGCAGTTATCAACCCTTTCAAAGAGTTGATTCCTCTCCTGTTTGCAGGCTCCCTTTAGGTACTGAAAGGCTGCAGTGAGGTCACCCTGAAGCCTTCTTTTCTCCAGGCTGAGCAAACCCAGCTCCCTCAGCTTTCTTAGAGCAGAGATTGATCTCAGCCTGGATTTTGTAAATTGCTGAACAGAGGATTCTGGTAGCAGTACTGTACTTTGCATTGTAGTATTAGAATATGTGGTTCTTCTTATTAGCACTGAAATGTTTGAGAAAAAATATTCATAGATTTCAGTTTGTTTTTCAGGATTATAGTATTTAGTGCCATATTTTTTTGGCTCACATGTTTTCTGAAGTGCTTTTGGCTCTTGGCTAGATCTGAGGCTTCTTCAAATTAGTCATCAGTGTCCTGCAAATTTTTATCAGCCTTCTTTATATACCACTCTTCATACTTACAACTTATTTTCAGTGCTCAACAGTCCAAATCAGGTGCCCCCGAGTAAAAACTACGCAGTGCATTCTTAAAACTTCAGCAGAAAAGATGTCCATAAATTTTGAAACAAGGTGCAAGAATTTAGTCTTGCAACTTTGCGGTTTCCTCTGTTTTTCCGTGATTCTTTAGAATCTGTGAGGAAACTTGCATTCTTAAGCAAATGTTTAGAGAGCTCCGATCTACATAGGTATCTCAAAAGTAATGCCTCCTATTTATTTTCGTGGAAACTACAACAGATACAAAGAGCTCAACAGTGATGTTTTGACAGAGCAAATTCTTAGCTACAAAACACTGATTTTCGGTGTAGTCAGAGTACCATTAGCTATGCATTTTCACCAGCAATGAACTAGAGCTTGTATGCCATTCATGTAAAAATCTGCACTAGCAGAGGTGACCTGCTGTGTCACAGCTGCAATGATGGTGTTGTTGGTAGGAATATGGACTATGCAGTCCATCTGTTATCATCCCAAATAGGTGGAATTCAGGAGGCTCCAAATTTGGACTGTATGGTGTGTGTGGTAGGACTGTCCAACCAAGATTGGCAGAGTGCTCCATGGTCTTCAAACTGAAATGGGGCCTTATGTTAACACGTTGCAAGAAACAGGTTGTCTTCTCTGGTCTGGCTCTGGAAGATCAAGCCTTTGACATAGTCAGCATCATTAAGTAGCAGTTGATAGTTCATCCAGGTTCCAGAAAATTCAGAAGGATCACTCTTCCTATTCCAAAAGACAGTGCACATCACCTTATCCACTGAGGGCTGTGTCTTGAACTTCTTCTTTGCTGGGGAATTCACATTTTGCCACTCCATGGACTGCTCTTTTGCTTCTGGTTCACAGTGGTTACACCACATCTTGTCTCACTGGTGACAATGTGATCTAGAAAACTGTCACCTTAAGCATTGTATTGGTTCGTTAGATCTTGACATGGTATTGCATATGGTGTTCTTTTTCCTACTCTGCAAACACTAGTGGGACCCATTGGGAGCAAACTTTGTGATAGTCCAGTGTTGCCACCTATGCTTCCAGTGCATTGAAGTTAATATTCAGCTCTGTACTCAGTTCCCTTGCCATAATCCATTGATTCATGTGAATAAGCTGATTGAGATGCTCTTCATTCCGGGCTATGCTTGGCCATCCAGAATATGGCTTGTCTTTCATGTTGTTTATACCACTGCTGAAAAGTCCCACCCACTGCTTCACTGTGCTCACATCCACTGTTGGGTCTCCATCAGTGTTCACATGTGTTGATGAATGTCAGAGGGTGCCATGTTTTCTGCATGGAGGAGTTCAGTGGCACACCTTTGCTTCATATGCACTTCCATGTCAGATACCATTTTATCTGCTGCCATCCGCCACATGACTGCAAAATGTGATAGAATATTGGAGGGAAAATTCAACTTCTACTGCCTTATCAGTATCTGCCTCTGATGTTACGGAACAACATAATAAAAAGGAAGCATTACTTTCAGAGCAGCCCCCACAGTTTCTTTCTAAAAAAACCACAACAATAAGTCACTATATATAAAAGATGACATTTAGCAAAATATGAAATCATGTTATTAATACTGCCGTCTCAAAATGCATTGATTTATTCTAGCTGAAAGAAGTAGCAGCTAGCCAGGCTCAGTATTAATTAGTTCTGTGTGCTATTTGTCATCTGTTGGATTAATCTGAATTGATTTAAATCACGTTATGTTAATTCTAAGCCATAATGGAAAAAAAGGAAAACAACAGCCAAAGCAACAACAAACAGTATTTTGCATGTGGAAAACTTATGTTGAAACAAGAGATATGCCATGAAGTAGTGATTTGGTATTAAGAACTTTGGGAGAGCTGTACTTAGTGCACTAACAGAGAACTGGATTATCTAAATCATGCAGAGTATTGAAAGAAACCAAAATTGTATTTTTGTGAATTCTTTTATTTAATACTTGTTTTAAATTGAAGTTTGAGCATATTCTGTTTCCTTAATGCTGTGCTCTGCATTCTTTCCACTGTGTTTAGATCTAGTATTTGTAAATACAGTACTACTCAACAAACCACGTTATTTTATAAAATACATTTGTACACAGGCAATGTACTAAAAACAGGTATGTTGTGAGCTAGTAATGTTTTTATTACAGGATTTGTAAACCCTTAGTATCTAATGGTCCAAATATACTTCACAGTCAGTCTGTTTTCCGCTTTGTTTAATAGCCTATGGCATAAATTGAAGTTAATTATTTGGCCTGACAAGTAACTCTGCTTTCTGTCTGCTTTCAGAGACTCTCCGAGGCAAAGATGGAGCTGAGAAGAAAAGATCAATCTCTGCGTCAGCTCAATAGACTTCTTACGCAGCTGGAGCAGGACAAGCGTCGACTGAAAGAGAGCATCCATGATGCAGAGAGTGCCCTCTGCATGGCAGCAAAGTGAGCGCTGGGACCTTGGGGAGATCACTTAAAACAGACAAAAGATCAATTTTTACTTTCATGCACAGGGTTTTAACTCCAGCTAATGTGATGCTAGAAAACAAAAGTACGTCTGTCTCTCTTTGAAATTCAGTGGTAGTTTTCTAAAAAGAAAACTGTTAATCCAACACGCCCGATTTATGTTTTCTGTAGTTAGCTCCTAAAAGTGTTCTGATTTCTAAGTCCTGGAATAGCACAGATATTTTGGGTTGCCAATTATGTTACTGATTTGACAATGTCTCTTTGGTAGAGCTCTACCACACCATTTAATTAGGAAATGACTGCTAGCTTTCAGCATTTCCAGATGATCTTTTTATAGAATGATACAGTTAGCTCAGAAGACATACAAAAACATCAACTAGGTATCAGGTCTTTGCTGTCAAAGGAGTTGAAACTCATTTTGGACCTGATCATATCTGTACGAGAGGGTGGATCTTTCAGCTTTCAGGGAGTTTTAGTTTTAGGTGTAAAACCTGTGCTTTTTTATATTACAAGAGAGACTGACCACTTACAGTAATGTGATTATTGCTAACCTGGTAGAGTCACGTAATCAGATAAAAAGATAGTATTTAAATGTTTAAAATTTCTCGTTATACCCAAGATGTAAGTATTGACTTTCTTAAAAACAGTAGCTTAGATGACTGAAGTGTTTTATGTATGAATAAAGTCCTGTAATTGCTATGATTTTTGGTGAAATGCTCAGCAAGCTAATGAAAATACTGGGTGATATTTAGTATGAGTCTGTTAAAGTAGATTTGACCTGAAGAAGATTTTAGTCTTGAAAACTTGGTTCTTTTCACCCTGTCACAACCTGTGTTACGTACTATAGTATAAAGCGTTCGTGTGGCATTTAGAATTTGGAAACCATTTTATTTCTGTATGTAGTAGTTGAATATAATGGAATACAAAAATTTCCCCATACCATTAATTGTTATTTTTTTAACTTTGGAACATATCAGCAGAAGGGATGAAATAGACTTCATATTTGTCCAGAAAAATCTTTCTTTAATAGCTTTTCCACTACCTGATTGTCTGTAAGCAATACATTTTTATTTTCATGCTCCTGGGAGTCTTTCAGTTTTTTGTTGTTTTTTTTTTTCCTGCAATCTTAAGGGATAGGAAGATGACTGGCTCATTCTGAGAATTTCTTCTTTGATTTTCTTGCAGTGGTGGCCAGAAATTCTGTTTCTGGAGTAGGAAGTAGCATTAGTAAAAAGAGAGCCTGTAAGCATCTAACCCAACAGTAATATATTAGCCCTTTCTCTGTCTCTGCTAGAGAAAAGCTATGTTACAAAACACATTCTGCATTCATGAACCACATTTAAATATAATAAATACTAGTTCTGTGGTTCAGTTCCAATTTTCCTTACCCCTGTAGGCACTGAAAAATATATGAATGACTTTTGGATTCTGTCATGTAGGGGTGCAAAAAGATTCATTTTATTAAACTTTTTTTTTCTAAATGCTGTAAACACACAGTCAGAGTTTTATGTAAAGATGTTGTTTAACTATTCTCAAAAAGTGAGATAGTAATTCAAGGACAGTCACAGGGATTTTCTTCACAAAACTGTGAATACCTGGGAATATGCAAGGAATAGTTTGATTTCCATACCATTAACCAATTTAAACATTAATTCTGTTGGACTGGCTCTCTAGAACCAATGTTACCCAGACAAAGCAATCACTACATGAGTGAGGAAAATTGAGAAGGAACAGTAGCATGTCTTTGTAAATCCAATCTGAAGAAAGATAAGATCCTGGAAAGGCAAAAATCTATGTTACAGCTTTACCAAGATTGTAATAGCCAATGTTATTTTTCTTGCTGCTTTATTATTTTTGCTGTTTTGGATAGTATGAATCAGTAAAATGAGGAAAGCAGAACACTACCATGGTTTTGAATTCAGCTTCAGGAGCTCCTAAGAGTTACAGCAAAATATTCAATTAGCTGGCAAGCCTGTCCTGGAATAGCAGGGTATCAACTTATTTGGTGTGAATTCTATTTGATTTCCTCTTGTGCTTTGTTGGTCACTGTGGCCCACTCTTCTTAATATTATGCAACTGCAACTACATTTCTCAGAGTGCTAGGTTTTTTATGGCAGAGTAACTATTCAAAGCTGTCATTCTTACCTAAGCCCCAGTCTGCAAAAAGGCATGAGTAGTATTTCATTATGTGAACTTTTGCTTCTTAAAGATAGGATCCTTGACTGGACTGGAGAAGACCAGTGGGATGTTGAAAGGGATGGTCAGGTTTCTAAAAGTCTGTTTTTCTTGTCTACAAGAATACTTGATGAAAAACGTAATCCAACAGTATTCTTCAGAAAGAGAATGTAATCTCATCCCACTAGAGCCTGGGGTCCCTTCAACATGCCCTTTTTATCCAAAATTGCAGAATTCCTCTCCAGCAACACAGTGATTATTAATTGATATTCCTGTAAATATGGTATGTAAGCTATGTATTTACAGGTATACAAATGAATAATATGTAAATAAATGCCTGTAAATTCTAGTTTAATCTTTTGCATACAGTACAGGCATCTCCCATATGGAAATGTGTTGAATATTAGTCCGTGAACTATTTTTGTAAGATTTGTACTGGAGTTAAAAGGAGAGACACTAATATAATAGTTTGAAAACTGCCAAAATTATTTTTAAAGACATTTTTGTTATAAAGTAGCAGAAAATGAATTTACACATCAGTAGTACTTCAATTTTACTAACTACTTTTTCTTTTTCTTTTTTTTTTCTCTTACAACAGGGACAGAGAATTGTTCATTAATCAAATGAGATCTGTGGAAACCACTCTTCTTACGGTAAGAATTTGAAGTGTTTTGACTGCATCTGTATTTCCAGTCACATCAAGCTTTTAAAGCTACTTGTTCTCAGGGAAGCAGGGATGCAGAAGTTGAATAGCAGCTTCAAGTTTCTACCTCCAGCTTGTTTTGGCTCCAGAAAGTATTCAGATTTAGCAAGTTAAAATACAAGTTTGATATATATAGATTGCTTTGTTTCAATATTAAACTTATTATTATGTAAGTATTAATGTGGTGAAATTCGCCTTCCTTTTCTCCATCACTGAGCAATATTTCTGTTGGCTGTTGATCCTGAGTTGCTGAGTTACCTCACTGCTGAGGTATGTGGTTACAAACATGGTGCTCATAAGATATTTGGCTTTGTTATGCTGCTTTAATCTTTGGTATATAGTATGTATAACAAGGAAAAGATGGCAAGTTTTAACCTATTTGCAAAATCATAAGTAATGTTTTTTTTTAAATACTTTTTTTGATTTACTTAAGTATTCTCCTTGACTGATACTATTTTACTCTGATACAGTATTCTTTGAAGGTCTGACAAAGCTGAATATGTAATTATTTAGGAGACAGAGTTGTTTTTAACTGTAGCTGTGGTGGCTGGTTGTTTTGTAATTGTTCTTAGTCCAGAGCAACACATAGCAAAAAAAAGAGTTTTTATTACCTTGGAGTGTTTTCATTTCCCTTATCACATCTTGAATTCCCAGCAACGTGGGAATCTATTCTTTACTGTAGTTCCTGTGTCCACCAAAACTGTTGTTAATTTAATTTTCACATACCCTTTTCAAAATTTTCTTTCTCTTAACATTCATGAAAAGTGACAGCGCCTAAACTGCTTTTGTGTTTTAGCTTCACCAAACAGTGCTGAGAGGTGATTTTTTTCTTTTGAGTCTCCATCTCCTTCATGTTTCTCTCAAGCTTGGGAAATCTACGTAGTGCAGAAAGTGCTGTGTTCCTTTCACTGATGTATATGTGTAGTTTTCTTGCCTTGACAATTTATTATTCTAAATTAAAAGTTTTTGTTTTGCTTTAGAAGATAGTGCACAATTGCACTGTCTTCTTAAGGACAGTGTACATAATACTGTTCTTCCTAATGCAGTCAATACATTAAAAAAGCCTCATTTTTCTTTTAGAAACTTAGTTACCATGTATGCTTTTCATTTCTTCATGTTTGTTAGAATTGTACATAGTTGTTAGGTCCAAATAACTAATTATTGAATAGCAGAGTAATTTATCTTTTCTGGTTTGTCAACCTAAAGAATGAGGAAAACATAAGAATTACAAATGTCAGGATGATCTTTTCAGCAGGAAATAAAACAATTGATTGTAAATCAGTTGTAATTTGATGTATTATTTCTCCTACAAGAACAAAGGGAAATTATTGATCGTCATTTGGGAAATATTTGAAACTTAGATCTGATATCATAATGGCATCTAATTATGTAACAGTAATGAGCGGGACTTATGTGTAGCCTATCCAGCTTGCTTTGTTGTTCTTAAATGTTTTCGTACAGTGAGTGAAAAATGAAAGCATGATGAAGTAGATGAAATACTAGTAAAGGGGTTTTTCTTTTTTTTTTTCCTTATTGAAATTCTGGGAATTGCATTCGTTTTCAAAAGTGAATCAAAAGAAAAAGGATATCAATTTCTGAATCATCTAGAGCTGAGAAAGTATCAGTATTAGCTGCAAATACCTTTATGGGAGTTGGACACTGAACGTTGTGGTATTTCTACATTTATGTATTCATGAGCAAATATCCACAAAATTCCACTGCATCACCTGCAGGATCTGTGTTATCAATGCATAATACTAAATTTTTGCTTATAGAGCTCAGAGGGATTTTACAGACATCTGCAGTAATCTTACTTAGTCTCAGGGTAAGAAGGCATACACCGATATCCATTAAGCAACCTCATTCTTTATTGTACTCTGTCACTGAAAGAGTTGCAGAAGGCAGCAGTGTAGGTGCCAGGTCCAATGTTGGTGGATATACTTGGATGTAATCTTCAGCAGACAAAGCGGAAAGGATCTCTGTGCCTGGTTCTAATACAGCTCTAGACAAGGGATCGTTTACATTATTTACTGCCCCCATGTGACTGGATGGAAAATCTAGTATCATATATTTGACTCAACAAAGGCATCTGACACCGGGAGCTGGATTATTTGCACAAGAATTCTCATGATACCATTAAAATTTGAGAACCTTTTTGTTGTTGTTTTATACCACCTAAAAATATTTTTTTTAAGTCAAGTATTAAGTGAATATTTTAACAAATTTACAAAAAACACCAGGAGCAAACAAGGGACCTAATCATCTGATTCTATTTTGATTCAATTCTGGCTTTGTTAGCGAAAGATGCTGGCTGAATTTTTTGAAAATTTAGGCTTGGAAAAAAAGATTACTGGTTGTTTTTTTTTTTGTGTGTCCATAGGATCTATTAAACTGCATTAAACTGAAGAACTTTTGTCCATAGGATGCATTAAACTGAAGAACTTTTTAAAATAGAACAGGTTAAACACTGGGTGCTTAGAGAAATTGTGCCTGTAACTGACCCGTTACTTTAAAAAAAAATAAATACAGGACAAATAATAGTTTTAAAAAACAATAACACAAAACTTAAGGAGGCAAAATGCCAGTAAATGAAATTTATTGGAGGAGTTCTTCTGGAAGAAATTCTGGAAGAAACTTCTTCTGAAGTTCAAAGACAAAGATTTTTTTCTTAAAGAGTTCTGACCAAGACAAGAAAAAAAAAAAATCAATGCCTTATTTTGTAAGTTGTATAGAGGCCTCTTTTAAGTATGGAAAGCAAACAGTTTCTTGAAGATTTCCTCTAAAAATAATGATGAGAAGTGTTTTATTTTTTTTTAAATATATGTATTATGCTTTTTTGATGAACTATTTCATTGCTAGCATCTTCTGTGCTTACTCCTATCAATATTATTTTTTTCTTAAAGCACAGTCATGGACATTAAATCTGTTAATTGCATACAATTAGAATTTTTAATGTAAGTAGTTAATGACTTACTACTAGTCATGTTATCCAATCCATAGAAAAAAATAATTTAATGCTGTCTGTGCTAAAATCTTTAGCCTTCCCTTTGTTTAGCTTCTGAGTTCGAGTGTTATTGGTGGATCCCCACCCAGCCATGTGCTTTCTGTCCCCCTTAATGGGATGGGGAGAGAATGGGGTGAAAAAGCTTGTGGGTTGAGATAAAGGCAGAGAGATTGCTTACGACTGTGGGCAAAAGAGCTGACTTGAGGGAAAGTTAATTTATTAATTAACGCAGATTAAAATAGATTTGGGTAGTGAAAAAGGAAGGTCTGGATAGTGAAAAAAGAAGACAAAATGAATTAAAGCAAGACTGCATCCACCCCCAGCTCCTCTTCTTTTTGAATCTTTAGATTCAACTTCACTATTTCATTCTCAGCTTCTCTATCTTTACACTGAGGCTGGTGGTTGTGGTAAGCCCTCCATAATTCTCTTCTTCTCCTTCCTTCTCACATTTATTCACTGCTCCAGTGTGAGTTTCCTCTCCATGGTCCACAGTCCTTCAGGGAAACTTGCTCCAGCATGGGCTCATGGTGGGCTGCAGTTCCTTCATCAAACATCCACCAGTGCCAGTGGATGCAGTGTTGACGTCTGTTCCTGTGTGGTTTCCCATTGGGCAGCAGGGGGACGACATCATCTCAGTGAGCTGCTAGGGAATCTGTCCTTGTGTGTAGAACACATGCTCACTGTCCTTCAGTGTCTTTGGTGGCTGCACTGCTGCTTTTTACTCTTTTCCTTGTGCCCCCATATGCTTTTGTTGTTTTTTTTCCACACAGTTTAACTGGGGTTCCAATATTTTGGCTGCTGGGCTCTGCCATTCCCTGCAGTGGTATGAACCAGATGTGTCTGTGTCCAGTATGGGATAGCCCCGATAGCTTCTGTGGAGCTCCCCCTCACCTTCCCACTGATGCTGGCTAGGAGCCAGCTATACACAAATACAGCACTGAACCTCCCTTTTCTTCTGCCTCCTTAAGCCCCTCTTCTCTGAACTTCTGCCTATACAAAACACTGTTTTGGGAAGTCATCCCAGTGAGTCAGCCTGTACAGAGCCCGGGAATTGTTTGTGTTTCTCTTTATACTCTTAACTATTAAAAGTGTTGAAGAGCTTTATGAGCTGGCAAAGTTTTCAGTCTGCCTAGAACACCAGATGCTTAGTATTTGGCTTTTTTGTCAGATTAATAAAAAACCATGTCTTCTCAGCTTGGACTTTTACCCGCTATTCTATGTGAGGCTGATGAACTGTGATAATGAGTCAACAAAAAACCTCCCAATTTTTTTTTTTCCCCTATACCTGATAGCAGCCCACTCATTCTGACATTCTGGCACAACTCTGGGATCAAAGCACCTATTCAGTGTGTTTTTTTCATTTTTGCACTTGGTTAGTAAAGTCCTTTTCATTTCACATCTGCAATGCACTTCATTTCTGCTGGTTGAGAAGGTTGTGTGGCAGTTGGCTGAACTGCCTCCATGCAGTCATTGTGTTGCATTGCCTCACCACTGCTCCTTGTGCCTGTTCTCTTCTCTGAAATATCTGTAGAACGGTCAGGCATGAGGCTTGGGCCCATCGGTGCAAACAGTTGGGAAAAAAAAAATTTAAAACAAAAAAAAAAAACAAAAAAACCCCAGCTTTCTTCATCCAGAAATACAATGTATTAAAAAAAAAAAAAAAAAAAGGCAAAGAGTCAGCTGGAAATTAGGTGAGATGTTGGAACAGTTGAAAGTTAGTAACATTAGAACCTTATTTTTGATATGGTCCGTAGTAATAAAATGCATTTTTTTAAGATACTTGTTTTATGGCCTGTACGGAATTAATCTACAGTAGCCTTAAGTCCATATACAAGTGAATAACATTGGTGATAACATTAGCTGTAAGTAGCATTAGTTGTTAGTTTCAGCAAGAAGACTGCAAATTGATTGAGCTAACGTTGGCTGCCACAATCAGACTTTAATAA